CGCTGCCCACTCATTCCCAGTTTCATTCAGCTGCATGCATTGACCCAGCTGAATTGAGTGTTTCTGGCTGTGCCACGGGGCTCGTAATCATTTTTTGTTGGTTTGTTTCCTTTTGATTTCCTTTCAGCTGCAAGGAAACAGGTAAACAGATGAAAACCAACCAAGCTAATCCAAAAACCCCACCAGGGTTTCCATAAGGGAAATAAGGAGAAAAAGAACTAACCTTCATAAAATAAAAAAATAAAATCTCACACCATCAGAGTTGATTATCTTTTTCTTGTCAGCCTTTCCTCAGACAGCTGTTTGCTTTTCTAGCCATAAAATACAATGTCTTATTAGAAAGAAGGGAAGACTTGATTTCCTTTTCAGGCTGTTGTTTGAAGCACTTATTTGGTATGTATTCTAGATGACAATGAAACAGTAGCAGCTATTTATTTTTTAAGCTGTCTTTGGAAAACAGCCAGCCAAAGGCAGAATACTTGCTCAGACATAAAATGAGATTGCAGAACTAGACTGAATGGGAAATGCTGGGGCCTGTCAAAAGTTGTTGGACTCCAGCTCCCATCTTGCCACTCAACATGGCCAATGGCTAGGGTTGACAGGAGTTCAACATCATCTGGAGGTTCTCATGATTCTAACCCTAGAACAGCTGTGCAAGTCCAACGAGCCTTGTTATTCAGGGAGGCGAGGTCTACCAATGGCAAGAAGTCCAGATGGTGACATGCTACCTCTGGTATTGGAGGCAGCAGGACTGCTGGAGAACTTGAGAAGAAGGTGGCCATTGCACTCATGTCCTGCTGGAGGGATGCTGTGGGCAGCTGGCTGATCATCAGGTGAACATGGTCCCGGACTCAATGGACCACTGGTCTGATCCAGCAGAGCTTTCCCCATGTGCTTAGCACACCCGCCCAACATTTGTGCTGAACTTCTTTCAACCCAAGGGCTGAATTCCATTTTGAAGGTGCTTTCAGCATACACATTCCAGGGATGGGCAGGCCAAAGTACCAGCATATTTATTTCTTTTTCATTTTATTTGTACCCTGCCTTTCTACAAAAACAAACTGAATCCAAGTAGGCTTGCATTTTCGCTTAATGTTCTTGCTGCCAGTAAGCATTTCCTTTTCAGAATGGGGGCAGGGGAACTGCACAGAAGGAATGACCCAAAGCAAAAGGGAAAGGAGGCAGGGTCACCCAGAATTGACTCCTCTCTTCCCCCAGCCTGAGGTTTCTATAGAGTCAATCAGAATCACCCTTTCATTTAACTCATTTTGGCTGGCATATCCTTTCCCTGTTATTTCCCCACCCACATCTCCAAATATTTCATCTAATATATTTGTCACGTTAAATCTCTAGAGCAGGTATGCACAGCTTGAGATGAGCTAATGAACTGCGGAAGACTGGCCCACTGAAGCAACAAGAATAGATGAGTGTTAGGCAAACAACGCAGTCAGTCCATCCCCCGACACTTAATTCTTGCTCTTCCACCTCCTCCGCTTCACCTGTAGGTCAGGTGGAAGGCTAAGTGAGCAAGTTGTTTTTCTTTCTCTATTTTCATTGTTCTCTCCAGGAAGAATGGAAATGAACCACTTGGAGATGAGTTTGCCTTAACACCCCACGGTCAAGGATGGCCAAGGCATCTGCCAGGAGTATGGAAACGGTGCTTTCAGGAGATGCTCAAATACATTTGCTAGACTTGCCTGTGTTGCCCTTGCAATGTTTCAGGGAAAGCTGGGGTGCCGAGCTCACACGGAGTTCAGCAGCACTCAGCCTGAGACTGGATTCCTGTGACGCTGCAAAGCAAGGCTTCTCAGTTGACACATTGCTTCAAGGTCCTTTTAGGTGCGGGAAGTGACAATCAGCCATTGCTCAGAGCATCACCACAATAAGTCTTTAATGGCTTACAACAGTGGTACAGAAACCTCAGGCCTAGGCACAAAACTGGCCCTCTGAGGGTTCCCAGCTGGTGGCCTGGGTTTGCCCAGAATGGCCCTTTTCCGTAGCTTCATGACCTTACCTCCATCACTGGACATTTGGTACTTTCCAGTTTTTGTACAGTTTTTTTCTTCATCCTAAAAAGGCTGACATCTCTCCTAAGGTTCATGGATTGGCACTAAAGGCTTTAAGCTGTTAACTAAATTCATAGCACTGGTATTTTGGCAATGCTCTTTGGGTCTCTGACATCATGCACTGCTGCAACGGAGCCCCAGTTTTTTTTCAGAATTAAATTTCAGCTCTCAGGCTGAAAGCAGTTCAGAACCACTACACCTCGGCCTCACTGTGCACAGAGGCATTGCAAAGCGTACATTGCATACTGCAAAATGTATATTAAGCAGCACAGCACCTCTTTAGTACGGGTTTATCTGAACTGGCCAGTTGTGGGAGGGGTGGCACAGCTGATGTTTTGACAATGCCCAAGGGCTCCTTCTTTGTAGGGGAGGTTATAATATGGATAAACTTTCTATTGGAAAGGTCTTTAACGTTTACTGCTGTCCATGTGCTCCTTGGTTACCTACTTGGGTTTTTTTTAGAAATTCACCTAAGGTCAGTGTAAATAAATCCTCTGAGCACTTTTGGACAGCTTAAAGGGTTATTCATATGCACTCCATTGTCATAATAGATCTGCTCACATTTCATGTAAGAAAACTGAAAGACTTATTTTTGTTTCTCTGCTTGTTTGTTTTTGGTTTGATTTTTGAGACTCATTTGATAGATAATTTCATTTACCTTCATCCTTGTAGATACCAGGGCAGTATATATTTAAACCTATGACAATCCTTAAATCCATCATCACTGTAAAACAAAGGAGGCAGACAAATGGAATCAGACAATATTAAAATGTAAACAAAAGAGGCAGTTTCCCCTTGTAGTGCCAGTTGCAGAACTGATGTCAGTTGCATCTCCATGGGAAAGGCATGGCACACTTGCGGGGGGCCACAACTGGGAAGACTCTGTCCCTTAATGATAATGACCCTAACCCAGGTACGTGAAGAAGAGCCTCCCCTGATGGTTTTCAGTCTTCAGCAGCATCTTTTTCAAGAATGGAGTCTGGAAGTGACCTCCAAGCAAAGCTGGACAAAAATGATGTAACTACTTACCTCAAAAGTGACATATCATCCAATTACTCCCAGAGGAAAGGAACTTCTCCAACAGCCTCTCAGCCTGGGACTCTCCTTTAGCCCTGATGGCGGCTTCCGCTTCTGCTCTCCGTCCTAGTTTCTCTTTTGTGAAGAAGTGAAGCTGTGTTGGCTGCCTGGATGCCATTTTGGATCCTCTGTAATGCCCCAGGAGCTGGTTTCCAGGGCACTGTGGGATTGTACAGCAGGGAGAGCAGTGGCCGTGGCCAAGGAAAGCATGGGGACCTTTCCAAGAATTTTATTTGTTTTGCAAGGTAGCCTTTTCCCAGGACTAAATGAGACAAAGAGATCTCAGACTTTTTCACAGAAAAAGTCTGCCGAGAAGCTTCAGCTTATTTCTGTCTACAGATGGTTTTACCTTAAGCAGATGGAATGCACTTAGGAGGCAAGATCTCCAGGACTAAGCAGGGGTAGAGGGCATGAAAAGTTCTTTGGTCCAAGTGCTCCCACAAGATGAATTGCTAGGAAGCAGCTAGAGCAGAGGAGCCAGTGAGCAGTTGGGCAGCCTGGTGAGGTGGCCTATTAGCTTCTCCTGGCAACAAGCCATCCTGATCTGTAAAGAAACTCCTTAAGAAGTGGTGGTACGAACTGGTAATGAAGTCCTGGAACATTCTCACAATGTCAAGAGTCCTGATTTGAGCTGTTTGCTTGCAGTACCTTTCCTCTAACCAGTGGCTCCTAGAGGAGTTAAATTAGGGCATTCAGACCTGACTCAAAAGTTCAAGGTTGAGTCTTGTAGGATATGACAAGTTATACTGTCCATGCAGCCCAATTTACACAGGACAGCCTTCTATTTAATGGCATCCTTTATCTGAATGGCTGTCCAATTTATCTCCAGTTTATCCAGAAGGAAGGAAAGAAGGGGGCTTTGAAGTTGCCCATTATCAATTAGCACTTGAACAGCAGATGGAGTAGGTACACAAGTCATCTGATTGCAGTCTCTCCTACTCCACCACCCCACTATTAAGAGATTTCTTGTATTTCTGGTCAAAGTGTAGTGATTATTTGCAAATTTTTACCTACCTATATTAGCTTATGCATTTTCAAGGCAAGCCTGTATCTTCTTTTGGCCTCTTTTTGGAGAATGCATGAGTGTCCACCCCACAAGAAGTTAATGTGGTAGCAGCACATTCCCCCCAATGCCCCCCTTAAGTTTTCAACTCTCTGCTTTTCTGCTAAGACACCCCTCTTTGTTCTCACCAGGTATTTTGCTGCAATAAGGACCCAAAACTGGACCTTGCAGGATTACCTGTAACTGTTCCTTCTCCCAACACCAAATGCATGCCATAAAAATTTTAGGCCTCCATAGCCCCTTGCTAAGACTTTTCATCTGCCTGATATGAAAAGGGGGGGAACCCCTTTCTGAAGCTGACATCAAAGATAACAGAAGATCAAAACTATTTTTTTGGGGGGGGATATTAAAGACAGGATGTGAAATGATACAGTTAATAAAATGGAACAAAGGGGTCAGTAGGAAAAGAGCTGAAAGAGGATGGAGATCAGCCTCTTCTAAATTGTGTCCATTTGCTTTAGAAAATATACGCATTCAAATGATCCAGAGGTGCTATTAAAAAAAAAAATTCCCTTCAGATGAAAAAGAGGCTTCTATTGGGATGTAAATATATATTCATGAGAGAACTTTGTTGGTGGAAATAATTTCGATGCATTAAACCTTGTTTCCATTCAAGACCGAATAGGCTGACACCTGAATTTTCAAAATAACAAAAGGGACGGGGGCTTCCATCATAACACCGAGGTGAATATTCATAGCTATCTGTAAAAGCTTGTTTCTGTGGGATGTTTCCCTTAACAGCTTAACAAAGACTTCTGTCTCTCTTTCTCTCTTTCTTCCCCCAATGCACAGCATCATTTTCTCTCTCTATCCCCCTCTCCCCCTTTTGCGATGAGAACAAAGAACACCGAGTTTCCTCACCTTTCCATCAGAACATATTTAATCGCTGCTGCTTGGAGGCAAAGGAAACTTTTCACAAAACAAAGGCACATGGTATTTCATCTGCTGCTTCAAGGTTTGTAAAACAATTTCTTTCCATCACTGCCACCCCCCAGAAAAGCAAGGCAAAGAGAGAGAGAGAGAGAGAGAGAGAGAGAGAGAGAGAGAGAGAGAGAACGAGCAGAGGGAATGAGAGGATAAGGGAGAAGAGGCAGTGTCAGCCAGCAACATATGAGACATTTACTTCTGCTTGTTTTAGATCAGGATTTACCTAGCTTGCACCTTTTCAACTGAACATGGATTAGAGCATACTCTGCACTGAAAATCTGTGCATTCTTAAGGTTGCAATATGCTCCACATCCCTCCCAAATCAGCATGGCAGGGAGTTGTAGTCCAAGCTAACTGGAGTGCTCCAAGCTGGGAAAGGTATTCATAGATCATACTCTTGCAAACATACATAGGTGGTCGGCGAAGGTCTGACCAGGGAGGACCATTTGTTCTCAAGCACAGTGTTGTCCAGTCTGGCCTCTTCCAGATGTAGTCCAAAATGTCTGGATCCGGATCCAGATTTAGCTGGAACACGTAGGTTCTTCCAGGGAATAGGTTCACCCTACTTCTGGAAGGTTCGCCCTATCATGCCCTCTCAAAATGCTATACAGAAAGTCTGGAGAGGAATGGGTTGCAGGGTAAAATAGTTACAGGGTGAATCACTGGGTAAAATCCAGCTATGTAAGATGCTTTGGATTCCCCAAACAAGGGGGGAAAGCAGGATATAAAGGCAATGTTATAATAATTGCCTGAATGACATGTTCTAGCTTTACTTTAAAAAAAACCCAAACCTTTGTTTACTTGATGCGTAGAAGTTTTGCCAAAATCTCTTCCCAAAATCTCATTTGCTTGACCCACAATGTGAGCTATTATTAATATTCCTTTCTGTGAGATATCAGATAAGCTGAGTCATGAAACTCTCTCTCTCTCTCTCTCTCTCTCTCTCTCTCTCTCTCTCTCTCTCATACATGCACACACACGCATATCGTGGGTCACTTGGATCACAGCACAACACAAGCGAAAGGGAAAGCCACAAATTACTTCTGACAACTTAAGCAAGAAAGTGAATGCAGAGGGGGCATATCTAAGTGAGAAATAGCTTATGAGTTGTCTCTACATTTAATTAGTATTTTCCAGTTTAGACTTTAGCTTCCAGAGAGAGTTGGGAGCATGAATTCTCTTTCATTTTCCAAGCTGCTCCCGTCCCCCTTTCCTCCCTATCCTCGGATGAATAATGCATCCTTCCAGGACCTTGCCCTGGATCCAAAGAAACACTACTTGTATTGAAACCATCTGTTTGACTCTAACCTGTGCTGCTTTCGATGGGTGTCTGAAGCCAGGCACCTCAGTCCTGTGCCCAGTTTGGGGAGTGTTCGAAGTACCTGCAGGTCATGTGTGCAACCTTGATTCCCTCTTTCTCCAGAGTGGAGAACTTTTCTGAGAGGAAATGTGTGAATAGAGAGCCTATCACATCCACATCAGAGAGGAAACATGGGCAGGAGTTTTGTTCAGTTCGTTGCATTTACGAGACCTGAGCAGAATAAGCAGATACTTTCAGAAGTAAAAGGGGAAGAACTTGCGATTGTCTTGATGTGAATATGCAGCACATGAAACTTCCTGAGCGCCTCACTTTTCAACATCCATCTTTCGATCTGGGCATACTCAAAAAATTTTGGCTTTGAATTAGGGCTGCCACCTCTTTTTTCCTGACTGCCTCCTCCTTCTTTCATTGGTACACATCGGGGAATTGCAACATGGCCTCATTCATACTGAGGACAGTTGCGCTGTTGCACTTGGCTGGTGAAAGATTGAGATACAAGCTCTTTTGAAAGCTTGAATTTGGGAAAAGTAAACATGACAGATTTTTCTATGCTTCGAGTAGCATCATCATTCAGCTGACAGAATGCTAGTTGATTGATGGCCTGAGTTTAATCCCCTGTTGATTGTAATCATATAAATATAATAATGCTGGTGATTTACATAGTTCCCGCCCTATTTATCCTCATGGCAACAACCCTGTAAGGTAGGCTGACAGGCCCAAAGTCATGCAGTGAGCTCTGTGAATGAGCAAGAAAAAGAACTCAGATTGCCCAAGTCCCAGTTTAGCCTGCATGCCATGCTGACTCTCAATTAATCAATCGAATACATTTGAATACATTTGCATTTGAAGAAAAATCATGGGGAGAGGGACAGAATTGTACTTTGCTTTTAGATGATGCACATCAAGTACGAAGTGGGACCATTTTAAAAGATGCATTCCTTCTGGTTTCCGCCAGGATGTCTCCTGCAAAGCATCTTGATAGCTCTGCCCTTGCATGTTTACTCAGAACTAACACACCTAAGCATGAGCGGGAGGAGGAAGGTGCATCAGGACTGCAGTGCACAGGTGTGAATACGCACCTCTTGGCCCTGCACATTGTCTTCCCTTTTCAGGCCAGAAAGGAATGTCCTCCCAGCTTGCAACTGGGGTATGGAAGACCAACTCCGTGCTTGGCAAAATTAGGGAAGGAATTGAAAGTAAAATGCAAACCGCTTATAAAATCAAATCCAATTCTCTTATCTTTTGCTAGGGAAAGTTGAAGGCAGAAGACAAGAAGGAAAAGTGACTCCATCAAGGAAGCCGCAGCCTTGGACTTAGAAGAGCTGAGCGGGGCAGCTGTGCTGGGAGACTTTGGCGACTTTCTTTCACAGGGTCACAATCGGCTGCAGCAACGAATACAAATATTTGGCTCAGCTGCCCTTGGAATACTGTATTCACTGCACCTGCAAAAGGAAATCACAGAGTTGGAAGAATTATAGGGAAGGGAAGGAAAAGCGACCACGAGGTTGCAGCAACTCCACTATCAGGACAGGAGCTGTGCTTGTTTAGTATGATGGCTCTATGCTGTCCCTGGTATCAGAAGCAGTATGCTCAGGTGCACCAGTTGCTGGGAGGAGCTGTTGCACTCATATCCTTCCTGTGCCATCCTGTGAGCAACTGGTTGGCCATGGGTAAACAGAGGTGCCTAGGACTAGCTGGCCCAGCGATCAGCATGGCTTCTCTCAGCTTCTCTGATGTTCTTAGGCAGTAAAAGGTGCCAGCATGTTTTAAGATTAAACACACACACACCAGATCAGCAGTGAGATTAAGCTTTCTGACCCCACCTCTCTCAAAGAAAACAGTGCTGTTGAGTTCATTTTTAGATAGTATTTTAAATCACCATCCATCCTTGAAGATAGCTGGACAGCATGTGCATCTGATTAAAATAATAACCGATACAATAAAAATACCCAGACAAAATCATTCACTATATACTTTGCTTTTGATGTTTCTGCAGGTAGGATAGACCATTGCAGAATAAATGAGCAAGAGCTGCAGAACAGGATTTTGCAAGTAGACTGGGAAAGGGTGGAGACGTCTTCCGGCGCATCATCCGAATGCAAGAGTATTGTCGTGAGCCTCGGGGAAACTTAGGTCAACCTGGGGACTGCCAACCCCTGAGTGAGACTGTTCTCAATTAAGACGGGATCTCTTTAGCAACACTAGTTAACAGCACTGCATAAAATGCAAACAAAATATGGAGAAGTGTTTACCATAGCTGAATTATCTCCTGGGAGATTTAGTGGCTTATTAAAAATTATTGGCCTTTATTTCTTCTCCTTTGGTGACAAAGCTGTTTTCGCAAACCGCTCTTGACGATTTCATAGCGGGAGTCTCTAGGCTGTTTGTTTTCAAAGTGCCATATTTCTTCCACCATTAAATTTTACTTTTGGCACAGTTGTTTAAAACAGCGATTTCCCAACACTTCTGACCTAGAAATGCAGCTAAATGTATATATTTCCCTGGAAAGCCTTCAGAAAATATGGCAGTGTCTCATGACTGCAGGGGGTTGTGAGGAACTACATCGTAAAATGCTCCTGAGTGTTGGAGTAATATAAATGCCCAAGTCCAAGTCTGACGCATGAATGTTTAGCATTCATTTTGACTTCATTTGATGCTGGGAAATGTGCGTGAATGGTGTCACTTGCTTTAAGCTTACGGGCCAAACGAAAAGGAGGAAAGCAAGTCAGGGTATGGACTAGAACAAAGTAGATAAGGAATAATCCTCTGCACATTTAGTGAAAATTGGCCAGCTCTTCTACTCAAGGGATGCCGGGAACTGCAAGATTTATTTTTGTCTATATGCCTGGTATAATGCTCATGGCCCTTTGTCTGATGTGACCAAGGACCATTTCACTAGAGACAGGTGCTATTCTGGTGGCCAATATCTTCTTTTCCACATCTGAGAAGGGGCGCTTGATATGTTTAGCATCAGTTTTTGGAGCCAAGCCCACATTTCAAAAAGTCTTTTTTTCCTGAGAAACTGGTTGAGATGGCTCTTTCTCTCACCCTCTCCCAGGATAAAAAGAAGGCCATTTTCTCATTTTTGTCTCTGAATCCTTTCCAATGCTCAATGCTTTCCCCCTTGGCAGCTTTCATCACACACACACACACACTATCACAAAGTGCCTAGAGCAATGGATGCTATACGGCAGCCAGACTGTCAGTTCAGCTTCAGCAACTGTCTGCATTCTTTGCCATTGGACACCACCAATGCTTCTCCCTCCCCAGCAGCCTGGAAAGAGCCCTTTCCCTCTGGAAGATGCAGAAAGATGGCACTTACAGTGTCAGGATTAAAGAGAAAAAGAAGTGAGAAAATCTTGTGGTTGCCTCTGACTTAGGTCAACCCCATTCATGGAAGCCCTCCAAAGTGTCCAAGTCCAAGGCGTTGGCTTCCTTTATGGAGTCAATCCAAGTGGTCATTTTTCCTGTAGCAACCTACGGTTGTGAAAGGTGGACAACAAAAAAGTTAGACAAGAGGAAAATTGGCTCATCCGAACAGTGATGTTGGTGGAGGCTCCTGTGATCAAGCTCATTGTTGTTTAGTCACAAAGTCATGCCCGACCCATCGCGACCCACGGACAACATTCCTGCAGGCTCTCCTGTCCTCCACCATCTCCCAGAGTCCACCCAAGCCCACACCCACTGCCCCAGGGACTCCATCTAAGCTCATTAGAAAAAGATATAATGCTTGGAATGCTCAGCGGCAAGAGAAAACCCGGTCGCCAAAGAGAAAGGTGGTTAGTATCCATCAAGGAGGATGTAGGTCAGAGCTTAGTTCAGCTGAAAGAGGTGGCACTGGATCGAAAAGTGTGGTGAGATTTGGTCCATAGGATCGCTTTTGGACATGAATGAACAGCTGAACAGAACAGATGGAGTCAATTCATCCTTTCTTTGACTGTCCTCTTCTCCTGCCTTCAACATTCCCTAGCATGATTGTCTTCTTCAGGGAGCCTTGCCTTCTCATGATGTGTCTGAAGTGTGATTCCCTCAATTTTCTCATTGTTGCTTCTAGGGAAAGCTCTGGCTTGGTTAGATCTAGGAACTGCTCATTTGTCTTTCTGTCAGTCCAGGGAATTTGCAAAGCTCTCCCCCAGCGCCATGTTTTGAACATATCCATTTTCTTCCTGCCAGCTTTCTTTCCTGTCCAGCTTCCACGTCCACACATAGTAAACAGGAATGCAATCATGTGAATGAACTTGGCCTTGGTCTTTACATAATGCTTGCATGTGATTATCTTCTCTTGTCCCCTCATTGCTTCCCTTCCAAGTCTCCTCCTCCTCTGAATTTCTCAGCTACAGCCTCCGTTTGAATTCAGGACTGAGATGCAATATGTAAAACCTTTCACAGTTTCAGTTTCTTCACTGTTGACAGTCAAGTTGTGCAAAAAATAAAAAGCCTTAGAGAGTAAGAAAAGAAAGTTACTGTGTGCTGGGGGAGTACCACCTGTGAGTACCTGTTGGCAAATATCTCCTCACACTGAAGGAATTAAATGAAATCTCCCATCCCTGATTGCTCTGCCTGCCAATGGCATCAGTGTTGCGAGGGGAGAGAATTTCAAGAGGTCATTTGTGCACAGCGCACGCGCGCGCGTGTGTGTGTGTGTGTGTGTGTTTGTCTGTGGTGCTGTTGTCAAAATGATGACATGGAATCTTTCCATGCAATAAAATGCAAGAACAATGGCAAAATCTGCCTGTGAAATCATAAAGGCAGGCTGAGATTTCCGCCTATGGATATTTGTTTAAATGACTAGATGTCTTTAATAAACACGTACGTAAAACCTTTTGCCCACAATAGTACAACATGGGCACTGGGTGAATTTATTCATGTATCGATTGCATTTATTATATGTGTCCCTTCTTTTCCCCCACAAGGAATCTAAGGTGGCTTGCAGAGTCTTCCTCCTGTTCTCCATGTTATCTTCACAACCACCGTGCGAGGTCGGTCAGTCTGAGAATCAGTGACTAGCCCAGAGTCACCCAGTAACTCCATGGCCACATGGGGACTGCAACATAAATTGTGCTGCAGCCTAGAAGGCTTGAGAATTAAAAGCATGCTACCAGCACAGGAAGGCAGATGGAGCTACACTAGGGGAAGCAACCAAACCATCTTCAAGGGCAGACCCCTGGCCAGTGGGTGTGGGCTTGGGTGGACTCCGAGGGACGGTGGGGGACAGGAGAGCCTGGAGGAAGGTTGTCCATGGGGTCGTGATGGGTTGCGCATGACTTTGCGACTAAACAAAACAAAACAGTAATCCTACCAGTTGGAGGGGCTAGAGTTCTCCTCCAGGGTTTGACTTCAGGTCCCCTTCTTCCACTTCCACAGAGAACTGGACATGCCAACGTTTTTTAAAAATAAGCTTAGCAATGGGACCAGTGAGCCTGCTGCCCTTCCCCCACCTCTGCCAATGACCAGGCATACTTTGATGAGTTTCTGGGCAGAATAAGTCTTGGATAACTCTAGAATAAGTCACGGGGGGCTGCAACCCAACAGGAACAATGGGGATAGCAGACAGCTTCAGCGGCATGGCCTGCCTCCCACAAGCTTCGTCTGGTAGGACAGGGATAATCTGATTTCAGCAAGCTGTGCAATGGTAACCGCCAAGTTAGACCACTGCAATGCACTCTACATGGGGTTGCCCCTGAAGACTGCGCAGAAACTGCAGCCTGAGCAAAAGGCAGCAGCCAGGTTAGTAACTGAGACCAGACGGTCTGAATGTGTCAGCAGTAGCATCCCTGGATGCCATTCCTGAATAAGGATGACTTAATGGTTTGGTGTTGTCTCAGAGTTGGAGAGACCTGGCTTCAAAGTGTAACTCAGCTCCAAAGCTTGCTGGGTGTTCCTAGAACTCAGCTCCAAAGCTTGCTGGGTGTTGGTTGCATTTCCTCAGCCTAGTCTATTTTGTGGAGTTGTTGAGATTAAAACAAAAACATAAACACCCTGAACGGGGGTGGATGAATCTGTCAATTTGGGTTTATCTCAGAGTCTCAGTATCTCATTCTTACGATGAGAATTGCTCTAGACTCAAGAGGCAGGAAGCCAGGTTCTGGATGAGCATCAGGAAGAACTTCCTGACCATGAGAACAGAATGACAATGGGACCAATGACCTCAGGAGGCCGTGGGCTCTCCCACACTGGAGGCATTCAAGGTGCAACTGGGCAGCCATCTGAGCGGAGTGGTTTAACTTGGGAATCCTGCGCTAAGCAGGGCCTGGACCCGATGGCCTCCTGGCCTCTTCCATTTCTAATATTCTGTGAATCTAACTTTAGTGCATGCTAATCTTTGAGAGCTTTTCAAAAATTTGCATGAAAGTTCCTGTTCATCTTTTTGTACATCTCTCCCAACATATGCATTCCTGTATGCATTTTTGCCTAATATACACTTCTTTTTCGGAAAACAGTTTTCCATACAGAATGCATTTTGCTGTCATTTTCCTTAATATATCCACTTTTTGCATCCATTGTTTCTTCTTCCTTTGGGATTGGAGATCCCCACTGCAAAACTCACGGAAGTGCATATTTCAAAGGAAACCGAATTTTGGTTCATTGATTGATTGAACCAAAATTAGGCAAATTTGCATTCAAGTGTGAACTGAACAATTTCTTCCCCATCCAAGAACTTCATCCTGAGCTCTTTGGATGATGATTGGCATATACATGTAAATACTTTACATTAAGTTAGGTGCAATGTTACATGCATGCTGCTGCTGCTTAAACCTTTTCCTCACTTTATGATTTAATTGGGTCTCTTTGACCCAGTCATTAGGGGCCTCCCCCTTTTCAAACCATGCCTAGGTGTTTTTCTTTTTTGAAAATGCTACTCTGCACTTACCAGTTTGCAATGTTTCCCTCAAACCACAGCCTTCAGAATGGGAAGGGACTGATAGGTGTGGTGCTGAATGTTGATGCTTTCCCTGGTCAGCCAGGATTGGCTGCTTTTGCTAAACAGTCTCAAAGGGCTGGATTGCTCAGCAGGGGGCTGTACATCACAGGGATGTTTAAAGGAAAACTTGAAACCATTTCGTCTGCTTCCGCAGGAATTTTTACTACCTCTTCTCATGAATGGATGCAGCCAGCACGGAAATCCCATCTCATCACATTCCAGTCACATCCTGCCTTCCACTCTTCCGTAAAAGAGGCCGCTGGGATATGTTGAAAAATTTAGCTGGTTTAACTAGGATTAACCTGAGTAAACCATTTTTCCCCTCCTTTTTGATTTACCGTTGAGATTTTGACTGTCTGATTATTTCATGTAAATGATGATCAGTGC